GTTTTATCTGTCATCATTTTCACACATTATGCAAACTATGATATTCAAATACAATTTTTGTAAAGTCAATAGGCCTATTTCGGAAATTGCTTATGTTTTGTTTGCGTTTCCTTTCCACTATGACCCTTGATTGTAAAAATTTACAACTTATTTAAAATTAAATTTGATGGTTACAATTACAAGGAAACATATCACGTTAACAAAGTAATATTAGGTCTATTATTCCAATATTATTCATTTATGGTTAAAACAAATAGACTATTTCAAAAAACAGACCTTTAAGTATTGTCCCATATGGGTCCTATACCAACTAAGTCGAAAATTGATCCACCCCTACAGGAAAAAAAAATTTTAACGTCCGTTTATCAAAAAGAGTAATATTTTCCATAATAAAACAAAATTTATTATAGAATTTTTGTGTTGTTATAATGCGAAGAGGGTGTATCACATCGATGCCTGTTTCACGTGTGTAAGCCTACACGGGGTACCGGTACGGTAAATGCTGAATCAGTATACAGCTGAAAGCGCCAGTATAAAGCGTCATAGCTGTAACGAACCCTAGTTTGAATCCCGACTTTTTTTACAATTCATCCTTGTACTTCACATTTATAGGGCGTACCGTATGCACCGTTGGGGCCGAAGAAAGATGTAGGTTTCTTGTTTACATATTTAAAAACTCGATAAATAGGCCTATGCCTTAAAAAGCTCTAAATTAGCATAGTTTCAGGGGGATTCGCCCCATGGACCACTTCCCAGCGGAAAAGACAACTGATGTGACCACGCCCACTGGTCCCCACATTGGCCTCCACACTCCGTCGGGAAAATCATGGCGCCACCTCTGACCGAGGTCGAATTCAGTTGGGGAAATGTTTATACACACTGTATTTCTCTTCTTATTGTTTAAAATGTGTTTACTACAAGACGGTTTATAGCTTATCTCTTTATGTGGTGACCCCACTTCCTATATAGAAAAGTGTTTGGGAGATCCTGTCTATTTGAAGGAGTTGACCAGCTATGCCTAACGCAGTTGGTAGAGCCGATCCTATCACCACATGACATTTAGTTTAAAGACATTAATGTC